TGCGGGGCCTTCTTGGGGAGTCTGCTACCCAGACGGCTGAGCTCTCTGCTGGGTGGTGGCCCTCCCGTGGACGTTCCGCGCTCCCCTCCATCTCCCATGTGCCTCAATGCTTATATAGTCTATTCACATGTCTTTCCTTTGCCACGCATGGGGGCACTTACGTGGAGTACCCGTCTGCTACACCTGTTTGCTTTAACTATGGTGGCCTTAGCAGAAGGGTGACATTGGATCCTCACCGGGTTTTTTTTTATTTTTTTTATGTGCAAACATAATGACACCACATATTAATGGCCTCTATGGGTGCGTCTCTGGACGCCTGTCTTGTTATTTCCCCCAAATAGTGTTCACCCCCAAGGATCCGTCTGGTACGGCTTGGAGGGTTTTTTCTCCTGAACTTCGGTTCCCGATAGTGATTCCCCCCTTTTTGTTCTTCTTGTTTTGTTTTTCTTCTTGCACTACCTACACCGTTCATTCCTTCCCTCCCTTCTTCCTGTACCGTCTCCTTCTCTCCTTGTCTATACCTTCCACCCCCCCATGCAAGCAGGGGAGGAAGGCCGTCTGTTGATGGTGAAGGGTAAGATAGAAGCGCAGATGGTTACCCTCATCAATGTGTACCTTCCCAATCAAGCCCAAATCCCATTCCTGGAGAGGATATTGTCCCTGATAGATGACTTCAAGGAGGGGATTCTCGTGATAGGGGGGGACTTCAATCTTCTACTGGACCCGGACGTGGACGCCTCCAGGCCTACATCGCGCCTGTCGAATGCGGTGCGGGGTCGGCTTAAGAAGTGCCTCCATTCTCACCAGCTCTCTGATGTTTGGAGGGTCCACCACCCCCAGGGGCGGGATTATTCATTCTTCTCCTCGGCCAAACAGACATACACCCGAATTGACTACTTCCTGGTCCACCACTCCGCCCTACCCCTGATTTCTGGGACGGCAATAGGCAACATTACCCTTTCTGATCATGCCCTTGGTCCACCACTCCGCCCTACCCCTGATTTCTGGGACGGCAATAGGCAACATTACCCTTTCTGATCATGCCCCCGTACAGATTCAGTTAGATGTGGGCACGACTGGTACCAGATCGTGGCATTGGCGTCTGAATGAGTTTCTCATTCAGGATCCGACCCTTGCGGGGGTAATTGAGGATGACCTGCGCACCTACTTCTCACTAAATCAGGCCTCGGATTGTTCCCCTTACTCGATTTGGGAGGCACACAAGGCATTCATTAGGGGTTCCTTGATTAAGATGGGGTCTCGAGTCAAGCGCCAACGCCAGCAACAGATTGATTCTCTTTTGACACAAATCCATCTTCTTGAAACTAGTCACAAACGAAGCCCAGACCAGTCACTGATGGCAAAGCTGACTGTCTGTAGAGACTCGCTGCGCTCTTTATGCACCCAAAGAGCTAAGGCAATGTTGGTTAAATGCAGGCGCCACTTCTATGAATTTAGCAATCAATGCAGTAGATCCATGGCCCATGCCCTGAGGCAACAGAGGTCCACGACCTTTGTCGCTGCAATGAAATCGCCCTCGGGTGCACTTCTTCATCTGTCCTCAGAGATGGCGGATAACTTCCGATCTTATTACTCGTCTCTCTATAATATTCCGCGTCTGGGTCCGCACAGAACGGCGGAGTCACACGCGTCCCGGATCAAAGCGTACCTGTCCTCGTCGGCGCTCCCCTCGCTTCCCCCCCGAAGTGATTGAGCTCTTAGAAAGCCCGATAACGGATCTCGAACTTGCGGAGGCCCTGAAGATGACTAACACGGGGAAGGCCCCAGGCCCGGATGGTTTCACCTTGCTTTATTATAAGCAATATGCCCCCATTCTCGCCCCCCACTTCAGGTGAGCCCTCAATTCGGTGAAAAATACAGGTGTTCTACCACGAGATTCGCTCTCCGCGCACATAACGGTGATCCCAAAACCGGGTAAAGACCCGAAGGTTTGCCCAAGCTATCGTCCCATCTCCTTATTAAATGTAGATACCAAGCTATTCTCCAAAATACTCTCGATGCGGCTCCTACCTTACATCACGGCTTTAATCCACCCTGATCAGGCCGGTTTCATCCCGTCGAGGGAGGCCAGGGACAACACCACCCGAGCTCTGAACCTAATCCACTCGATTGTGTCGAAGGCCACTCCTGCCTTTTTGCTATCTACGGATGTGGAGAAGGCCTTCAACAGGGTCGACTGGTCCTTCATGAAACACACTTTGGAACATGTGGGCCTAGGACCACATATGCTCTCATGGGTGATGTCCCTCTACTCCACACCGACAGCTAGGGTCCAATTGAACGGGTCGCTATCGCAGGATTTCTCCATTGCCAACGGTACTCGCCAGGGTTGCCCACTTTCTCCTCTCATCTTTGTGCTTACCTTGGAACCCTTACTTCGCTTGATTAGGGCCAACCCAGATATAGGGGGTGTAGTGATCGGGGGTCGAACCCATAAAGTGGCCGCCTACGCGGATGATCTCCTCTTCTTTATGACCTCCCCGGAGATATCCATTCCGAATCTGCTTAGTGAATTTTCCAAATTCGGGGACCTGTCAAACATCCATATTAACGCCCAGAAATCGGAGGCCTTGAACCTCAACCTGCCTAGCTCTCAGGCGCAACGCCTCCAACATAACTTTCCCTTCGCTTGGGCTACATCCCCTCTGAAGTACCTGGGAATTCAGCTCTCACGGAACCTGAATGATATTTATTCTCTCAATTTTTTGCCATTGTTGCAGAAGATTAAAGCGGATATATCAGGGTGGTCCCATTTGGCCTTTTCCTGGACGGGCAGAGTTAATGTAATCAAGCAAAATATACTCCCGAGACTGTTATATCCGATCCAGGCATTGCATGTCGCGATCCCAAAGGGGTTCTTCGCGACAGTGCAGTCCCTGATCACGAGATTTGTGTGGGGGTCGAAGCCGGCCAGGATCCGCCATTCTATTCTCCGTCGGCCCAAACGGTCGGGGGGTCTGGCTTTGCCTGACCTTCACCTATACCATATGACGGCCCATCTCACACGGATACTGGATTGGTGCCGCCACGAGAAGCTGAAACCATGGGTCTCCTTGGAGCAGTCTTTCTCGCAGCTGCCCCTCAACACACTCCCGTGGTGCCCCAGGATTTCTCAGGTGCTACGTATACACCCCACGGTGGGACCAATGTGGAGGATTGCCAGAAAGGTATTTGACTCTAGACTGATCTCCCCATCCCCCTCCCCACTCCTCCCGGTGATTGGGAACCCTGAATTTTCCCCTGGGCTGCAGGACCCGGGGTTCGTACAACTGGGGCTTAGGGAAAAGTTTAGGGCACTTCATTTTGTACAGGGTGCGGGCTGGCCGACATGCTCCGACATGGACAGGGATCCCATCTTGGCCCCACTGGGCTTCTGGCGTCATTTTCAACTTAACCATTTCCTTGCATCACTCCCGCACCCTGTGGAGATGACACGCTCTCTCACCATTTTTGAGCAGGAGTGCACCTCCCCAGGACACTTGCCTAAGGCCCTATCGCTATGCTATCAGTTACTCTTAGCCCCGGACTGTGATCTTCCTTTGCCCTTTACAGTATGGCAGCGAGGGAGAAGGATCTCGGACGTACCTTTTCTACCAGTGACACCTCGAGAATCTTGCAGCTATCCCTGAAGTCATCTATTAGTAATCGTTACCAGGAATCAGGGTACAAAATACTTACGCGGTGGTACCGTACTCCCAATAGGTTACACAAAATATTTCCTGACGCCAGCGAATGCTGCTGGAGATGCGGTTCCTCCTCTGCGGGCATGTTCCACATTTTCTGGTCCTGCCCAGCGCTTCACGGATTTTGGTCAAAAGTCCACTCCATCACTCAGAGGTTCTCGATCAACGACATCCCCAAGGACCCTTCATTTTTTCTTCTTCACCTTGCCTCTGGATCTTTGCGAAGCTATAAACGGTCCCTGGTGATCCACCTGGTCAATGCGGCCAGAGCATGTATCCCGGCCTTGTGGGAACAGGTCTCTCCCCCCACCATAAAGCTATGGCTCAGTAGGATCAGTGACATCAGGCAGATGGAAGACCTTACTTCCTCCCTAAAGGGAACGGGGACTCGGTTTCGTTATACATGGTTTGAGTGGGACGAGTTCTCCTCCTCCACGGAGCCCTAGTGAGACCCCACACAGCTTTCTCAGACCCTGCAGAGCCCTAGTAAGACCATGCACAACCTCCTGACATCCCCCACAGCACTGGGGAGACCCCACACAGCCCTTGTGAGACCCAACACAGACTCCTAAGACCGCGCAATGTGCTCTGCTAAGACCCTGCACAGCCTCCTGGGATCCTGCACAGCCCTGGAGTGAACCCACACAGCCTCCTAAGACCCTGACAGCTTCCTCAGACCCCACACACCTCTCGTGAGACCCCGCACATACTCCTCAGACCATGCACCGCCTGGTGAGACCTCACACAGCCCTAGTAAGTCCCCACAGAGCCTTCTCAGACCCCGGACAGCCCTGGTGAGACCCTGCAAACCCTCTTACGACCCTGCACAGCTCTGTTGAGACCCCACACAGCCTCCTCAGACATTGCACAGCCTCCTTAGTTGCTGCACAGCCCTGGTGGGATCCTCCACAAACTCCTGAGACCCTGAATAGTCCTGGTGAGATACCCACACAGCCTCCTCAGACATTGCACAGCCACCTCAGACCCCACACAGCACTGGTGAGACCCCACACTGCCCTGGTGAGACTCCACACAGCCCTCGTGAGACCCCACACAGCCTCCTCAGATCTCACAAAGCTCAGGTAAGACTCTGCAAAGCCTCCTGAGATCCCACATAGCTATAGTGAGACCCTGCAAAGGCTCCCAGAAAACTGCAGGGCACGGGTGAAACCCCACCCAGCCCTGGTGAGACCCAGCACAGCCTCCTGAAACCCAGCATAGCCCTGGTAAGACCCCACACAGCCTCCTCAGACCCCACACAGCTCCAGTGAGACCCCACACATCCTTTCTCAGGCCATGAACAACCCTGATGAGACCAGGAAAAGCCTCCTGAGACCCTGCACAGCCAAGGTGAGACATGGCATAGCCCTGGTGAGACCCGCACAGCCCTCATAAGACCTTGAAGAGACCTGGTGAGGCTCGACACAGCCCTGGTGGAACCCCACACAGTCCTATTGAGACCCTGCACAGCCCTGGTGAGACACCCGCACAGCCCTGCTGAGGCCATGCACAGACTCTTGAGACCCTGCACAGACCTGGTGAGACCCTGCACAGCCTCGTGAGACCACACACAGCCCTGGTAAAACCCAGCAAAGCCTCCTGACATCCCCTACAGCGCTGGTGAGACCCCACATAGCACTGGTGAAACCCCCCGCACAGACTCCTAAGACCCTGAACAGCCTCATCAGACCCCACACATCCCTGGTGAGACCCCACATAGCCTCCTAAGACCCTGCACAGCCTCCTCAGACCCCACACGGCCTTGGTGAGATCCCAAACATACTCATCATACTCTGCATAGCCCTGGTGAGACCCCGCACACCCTCCAAAGACCCTGCACAGCCCTGTTGAAACCCTACACAGCCTCCTCAGACATTGCACAGCCTCCTGAGATGCTGCAAAGCCCTGGTGGGATCCTGCACAATCTCCTGAGACCCTGAACAGCCTCCTGAGACCCTGCACAGTCCTTTTGAGACCCTGCACAGCCTCCTGAGACCCCACACAGCTAAGTTGAGACCCTGCAAAGCCTCCTGAGATCCCACACAATGCTGGTGAGCCCCTGCACAGCCTCCTGAGACCCTGCAAATCCCTGGTGAGACCCTGTGCCGCCTTCTAAGACCCCGCACAGCCCTGGTAAGACCCCACACACCCTCCTGACACCCCTCACAGTCCTGTTGGGACCCCACGCAGATTTGGTTAGACCCCACACAGCCATGATTAGACTCAGCACAGCCTCCTGAGACCGTGCACAGCTCTGGTGAGACCCCGCACAGCCTTAGTGAGACCCTATGCAGCTTCTTGAAACTTTGCATAGACTTTGTGAGACCCAGCACAGCCCTGGTAAGACCCTGCACTGCTTAGCCAGACCCTACACAGCCCTGGTTGGTCCCTGCACAGTCCTGGTTAGACCCTGCGCAGCCCCGGTGAGACCTCAAATAGCCTTCCAAGAACCAAAACAGCCCTGGTCAGACCTCACACAGCCTCCTGAGACCCCGCACAGCCCTGGAGGCACCCTACACACAGACTCTTAAGACTTTGAACAGCCTCTTGAGACCCCACATAGCCCTGGTAAGACCCACACAGCCTCCTCAGACCCTGCACAGCCCTGGTGAGACCCTGCACCGCCTTGGTGAGACCCTGCACAGCCTTTCTAGAATGCGCACAGCCCTGTTGAGACCTTGCACAACCCTGGTGAAGTCCCACACAGACTTCTAAGATCCTGCACAGCCTTGGATAAATCCCGCACAGCCATGGATAAATCCTGCACAGCCTCATGAGACCCCGCACAGCCATCATGAAACCCTGAAAAACCTTTTCAGTCCCTGTACAGCCTCCTGAGACCCCACACAGCCCTGGTTAGACCTTGCACAGCCCTAGTTTTTCCCTGCACAGCCTTGGTGAGACCCCAAACAGCCACCTGAGATGCCACACAGCCCTGATGAGAATTTGCACAGTCTCCTGAGACCCTGCATATACGTTCGGGCACCCCACACAGCCTCCTAAGATCCCTCACGGACTTCTGAAAGCCTGCATAGCTTTGTTTAGACGTTGTGCAGCTCTGGTTAGACCTCATATAGCCTCACAGCCTCACAGCCCTGGTGAGACCCCGCACAGCCTCCTGGGACCCCACCCAGCCTTTTGAGACCCCCACAGCCTCCTTAGACCCCACACAACCCTGCACAGCTTCCTAAGATCCCTTACAGCCCTGGTTAGCCCTGTTCATAGCCCTGGTGAGACTCCACACAGCCGCCTGAGTTCCTGCAACTATGCCTGAGACCCCACACAGCTCTGGTGAGACCCCGCACAGCCTCCCGATACCTTGCACAGCCCTGGTGATACCCCAAACAGCCCTGTTTAGACCCACACAGCCTCCTAAGACCGCACCCAGCCCTGGTAAGCCACTGTACAGTCTCCTGAAACTTAGATTAGACCCTGCACTGCCCTGTTGAGACCCCTTACAGCCTCCTGAAACCTCACGCAGCCCTAATGAGACCCAGCACAGCCTTTTGGGACCTGGCATAGCTTTGGTAAGATCCCACACAGCCCTGGTGAGACCCACGTAGCCTCCTGAGACCCTGCACAGCCCTGCTGAGAACCCACAGACCTTTTAGACCCTGCACAGCCCTATTGAGACCCTAAACAACCCTGGTGAAGTCCCGCACAGCCATCATGAAACCCTAAAAAGTTTTTTAGACCCCGCACAGCCTCCTGAAACCCCTTACCACCCTGGTGAGACCCCTCACAGCCTTCTGAGAACTGGCACTGCTTTGGTGAGACATTGTACAGCTCTGGTTAGACCCTGCACAGCCCCCTGATACCTTGCACAGCCCTGTTGAGACCCCGCACAGCCTCCTGAGACCCCACACAGCCCTGGTTAGACCCTGCACAGCCCTAGTTTTTCCCTGCACAGCCTTGGTGAGACCCCAAACAGCCACCTGAGATGCCACACAGCCCTGATGAGAATTTGCACAGTCTCCTGAGACCCTGCATATACGTTCGGGCACCCCACACAGCCTCCTAAGATCCCTCACGGACTTCTGAAAGCCTGCATAGCTTTGTTTAGACGTTGTGCAGCTCTGGTTAGACCTCAGATAGCCTCACAGCCTCCTGAGACCTTGCACTGCCCTGGTGAAACACTGTCTAGCTCTTTTGAAACCCTGCAGAGCCTCCTGGGACCCCATACTGCCTCTTTAGAATCAGCACAGCCCTGGTAAGACCTTGAATAGCCTCCTGAGATTCCCCACAGCCCTGGTTAGACCCTGCAAAGCCCTGGTGAGACACCCTACATAGCCTCTTTAGACCCCGCATAGCCCCATGTCACCCCGCACAGCCCTGGTGATTACCCCACACAGCATCCTAGCGAGACCCTGCTTGGACTCCTTAGACCTGGTGCAGCTTTAGTTAGACCCTGCAAAGCCCTAATTAGACCCCACACAGCCTTCTGAGACCTTGCACAGCCCTGGTGTTACCCTGCACAGCCCTGGTGAGTCCCTGCATAGCCCTGGGGATACCCCACACAACCACACACAACCTTGGTAAGACCCCATATAGCCCTGGTAAATTCATGCATAGCCCTGGTAAGACCCATATAGCCTCCTGAGACCCTGAACAGCCCTAATGAGACACTGCACAGCCCTAGTGAGACCCTGCACAGACTCCTAAAACTCCACACAGACCTTTTGAGACCCCCACAAAGCCCTTGTGATATCCCAAACAGCTTTTTTAGACCCTGCACAACCCTGTTGAAATCCTGCACAGCCTCCTGAGACCCTGCACAGCCATGGTTAGACCCTGCACAGCCCTGGTGAGACCGCACACAGCCTCCTGACACCCCACACAGCCCCAGTGAGACCGCACACAGCCTCCTGAGATCCCCACAGCCGTGGTTAGACCCTGCACAGCCCTGATGAGATCCCACACAGCCTCCTGAGATTCTGCACAGCCTCCACACAACCTCCAGAGGCCTTGCACAGCCCTGCTGATACTCCACACAGCCCTTGTTAAAGGGTCTCACAGCCTCCTGAGACCGCACATAGCCCTTGTTGGAACACACACAGCCTCCTTAGACTCTGCACAGCCCTGGTAAGACCTTGCACAGTCTCCTGAGATCCCCACAGCCCTTGTTAGACTCTGCACAGCCTTGGTGGGACACCACACAGCCTCCTGAGATTCCGCACAGCCTCCTGAGACTCAGTACAGTCTCCCAAGACCTTACATAGCCCCGGTGATAATCCACACATTCCTGTTTAAATCCCTCACAGCCTCCTGAGATCACACACAGCCTTGGAGAGCCACAAAGCCCCCAGAAACCCTGCGCAGCCCTGGCGAGACCCTGCACAACCCTGTTGAGACCATGCATAGCCTCCTGAGACCCCGCACAACCTCCTGAGACCCTGCACAGCCCTCTTGAAAATCTAAAAAGCCTTTTGATACCCTGAACAATCGAGGTGAGAACCTGGACAGCCCAGGTGAGACCCCACACAGCCCTGGGGAGACCTCTCACAGCCTCTTGAGACCCCACCGTTTCTTGGAGTGCCCTTGCATAGCCCTAATAAAACACAGTGCAGCTGGAGGACCTTTTTAAAAAAGTCAATGGCCAACAACAATTAGGAAATATGCCCTAAAAACCCCCCACACAGCTTGTTATCACTGTTGTTATCACTGTTATTATTATTATTACATAGTATTTATATAGCGCCAACAGTTTGATAGCAGCGCTTTACAATGTAAAGAAGGCATTACAATTACAATACAATTCAAGACAGGATGGTAAGGAGGGCCCTGCCCCTGAGGGCTTACAATCTGAAAGAGGAGGGGGAAATGATACATGAGGAGGTAGCTCTTGTTGTACAAGAGGTGGCAGGACATCAGATGCATTGAGATGTAACAAAAAAATGAAAAAAGGGTTTTCATTTTTCAAATATACACAGCATTTTGGCATCTACATTTACCTAAGTACAGCTAAAGCCATACATGTTTAGTTTTTTCTTGTGGGGAGCCTGTGGGCTGAACATGAGAAATCTACTTTATTCCTCTATTAATGCTGTTTAGTGTATTGCTGACTTTTGTATTTAGACAGCCACCACAAGCTTCAAATAGACAGCAACCAATAGACTGCTCCTTCAATTTTTTTAGCTGGTGCTAACAGTGCTTACATTTCAGCTGCTTCACATAAATTGGCCAAAATTGGAGCCATGTCAGGCTAGCTTAAGGAGTTAATCTAACAGACCTGCCAGTACCGACAAGCCCTACACTGATCTCTACCTATGCAGTACTCCCAATGCTCTCCCTCAGATAAATCACTAGGCCAAAATGACTGCTGACACATCACCCTTTTATAGTGAGGGGCTGACTTATCCAAAAGACCCCTTATTGACCTTTCTAAGCCAGCTGACCTAAGATCCAAAGCCAATCAGTGCAATATGGATACAAAGTATTCGGCCAGATAAATTCCTGCAGAAATTCAGGAGTTAGAAGTTATTGACTTGAGTTTCTTTCATACAAAACTACCGTATATACTCGAGTATAAGCCGTCCCGAATATAAGCCGAGGTACCTAATTTTAGCCAAAAAAACTGGGAAAAAGTATTGACCCGAATATAAGCAGCTTAGAGATATTAAAATAAAATTAATAAGAGAAGTATATACTTAGCCACTCAACAATAAACCAGCTGCCCACATAGCTAAAAGTTGATAGAAGATGATGTCACTATATTCAGAGAGATGTATGACACTGAACTGTATAAAAGGAGGGGGAGAGGAGTCAGCTCATTGTACTGTCTCTGGGATACTGCAGAGGTCTGTGTCACATATGGAAGATTAAAGTCTTCACTAGCATTGAAGAAGAATCCAGTGATCAGAGCTATGGTCCTATCATATGCCTACATCATCCAGTTTTATGTGCTCCTCCTATGCATGACACCCAGCAGATCAGAAATACAAAGTCCGGCCTGTACTCTAAACTTTACTGATGTATTTGATGAATTCCAATACTTTCAGGATGGAGATGTGATTATTGGAGGGGTGCTCACTGTGAGGTCAAGTGAAAACAATGCAGATACACCAGAAGAGAAGACTTACACGTAGGTAACTTACTTGCCAAGAAGAGAAAAAGTGATCAGGGTGGCACAGAAAAAAACAAATATGACTTTGATAGGAAAAATTTATGCATTTGATGGAAATATTTGTATAAAAATGTATATAATATTTTTTCCACATTTCCATGCAAACCAAGCTTTCCAGAAAGAGTGAGTGGGGTTGGACGGCAGTGACAAGAGTTGTGACAAACTATAACACTGCCAGGGTGTTGGAAAAGTTGCAGCAGAATATTTTTTTAAGGATGCTATAAACCAGGTAAATGAAATGTGACCATTATAAGCAGAGAGATGTATGACACTGAACTGTATAAAAGGAGGGGGAGAGGAGTCAGCTCATTGTACTCTCACTGGGATACACACACTGCAGAGGTCTGTGTCACATATGGAAGATTAAAGATTTCACTGTAATTAAGGAAGAATCCAGTGATCAGAGCTATGGCCCTTTTACATGTCTTTTTTTAAGGATGCTGTAAACCAGGTACATTAAATGTGACCATTGTAAGCACTTTGTGGCTGTCTTTATTATTATTTTATTATTATACAGTATTTATATAGCGCCAACAGTTTGCGCAGCGCTTTACAATATAAGGAAGACATTACAGTCACAATACAATTTAAGACAAGAAGGTAAGGAGGGCCCTGCCCGTGAGGGCTTACAATCTAAAAGGGAGGGGCAAGTGATACATGAGGAGGTAGCTGCGTGGGGATGATTGTTTGAGAAAGTGATTGTTCAGTGGTTAGGTTGAGGTGGGATAGGCTTCCCTGAAGAGATGAGTCTTAAGGGATCGCCGTAAAGGACAGTCAGTGTGGGAGATAGACGGACAGGTTGGGGTAGAGAGTTCCATAGAATGGGAGATACTCTAGTGAAGTCCTGGAGGCGAGCATGGGAGGAGTTGATGATGGAGCTGGAAAGCAGGAGGTCTTGTGAAGAGCGGAGGGGACGCTTAGGGTTATAGTCTTATAGTTTTGTCCCATCCTCTGTCACTGTCAGTTTTCCTGAACAGCTTTATCTGCATGTAAGTGTGAGGGAAATATAAACAAAATAAATGAAAACTGACATCTTGTTAGCAAATGCTTTATGGTAACTGCTCTTAAAAAGCTGTTAAACTTATCTATATTATGGAATAGATTTTCCTTCCGGTTTTACGTGATCAAAAAGCTAATCTATAAGCATATTATCCATATGAATCTGTCCAGTTTTCTGGTCTGACTTTAGTTGGCCATACACTGGTTGAATGTCAACAAAATTCTGCTATCTCAGCGGCAAATTATCCAGTGTGTGTCCCCGTCAGACTTGCCACCATTAGAATACAATAAACCGGCAGGGGGTACAGTGTATGGCCAGTCTAAAGGTGCCCATACACTGCTCGATTCTCGTACGAGAATCGCGGGAAATCCCGCGATCGTACGAGAATCGAGCAGTGTGAACGAAGACGTGCGACCGTTTCGACTGTACGGTCGCACGACTTTTGTCTAAGGAGCACGCTAGAAAACCAGCCGAAAATCGTACGATTTTCGGCTGGTTTGAACGGTGCTCGGGAGACAAATGCCGAACGCACACTCGCACACTGCCCGTTCAGCATTGCGGTCATCGGAAGCCCGCTTGCGATGATCGAGAGTACGATCTGCCTGTCCAAGATGGGCAGATCGTATGTTTTTTTAATTACTTTACAATCATCGCAAGACTAAGGTCTTGCGATGGTTGTAAAGTGTATGGCCACCTATAGGCCCCTTTCACATGCCCATTCCAATCTGCCTCAGATCCAATCAGTTTTTCATGCAGTCCTGATCAGCAGCGATTAGTCTAAGGGCAGGAGAATGTAAACAGACATGCGTCCATTTATATCTGATTACCTCTGCAAGAGGAAGAAAAAAACTGAACAGACATGGCGGTCACAGACGGGACATCCATTCCATACTGCTCTGATCAGCAGGAGATCTGTACACAGATCCCCTGCTAATCCAAGTGGAGGGGCATGTGAAAGAGGCCTCAGTGTTAAAAGTTCCCCCTTTCACCCATGTGTCTACTATGAGCTCCTAATTGATTAATTGACAAACTCTCCCCCACGCCCTCTCCCTATAGATTAAGGACAATGCATGGTGGAAGACACTCTGCCCAGGGTCAGGCACTTTAGCCATCAGCATTTCTGCACAGGTATCAGGGCAGCTTAATACAGAAGTTCAGCCAAGACAGAAACAATAAAGGATCTGCAAGGAACCCAAACAGCAGTGCCCCTCTCCAGACAGACTGCAAGTGAACCTGTATTTCTCCATCCAGCTTTTTCTTTCCCATTCTGCTTTCTATTAACCCCACCCTAATATGCTCTCTCTACCTCTCCTTCTCACAAAAGTAGATTTTCTACATCTCCAAAATGTGCTTCCTTCTTAACCAATGACACCACCAAGCTACTAACTGACTCCATTGTTATCTCTTGCCTTGACACAACTCTGCTCGTGGGCCTACCTCTAAACTGGCTATCCCCCCTTCTGGAATGCTGCTGCCAGACTCATCCTATATACCAACCCTTCATTGTATGCAGACCCTCTCTGTCATTCCCTCCACTGGCCTCCAATCACCCAATGAATAACATTTAAAATACTAACCACAACATACAATGCCATACACAACACTGACCCAATCTACTTGCCAACCAAATCTACAAATATCACCCAAACTTTCCTCTTTGCTGCTCCAATGACCTTCTGCTCTCTAGCTCCTTCATCATTTCCTCTCATTCTCACCTCCAGGACTTCTCCCGTCTTCTGGAACTCTGTTCCTCAATATCTCTGGGCTATTCCCTACTCTTCCTGTTTAAGGTAATCCATGAAAATTCATCTCTTTAGAGAGGCCTTTGCCACATCTACTTTTTAACTGAAATTTTACTTTCTCCATCAACTCACCCCCTCACAGCTATTACCTTTTGTATCACCTGCCCCTCCCTGTAAGCCTCATGAGAGAGCAAATTGTAAGTTTTGCAACTAAAATCTCTGTTTTTAACACAAATTATTGGAAGTGTATTTTTTTGTGTATGCATGTGCTGGGAAATGTTTTGTGTTTGTATTGTGGAAAACCCTACCATGGGGAATCTTACTTGAAAAGCAAGTTATTCATTGATTTGTGTGGTTGTCATTTTTGTTTTGCTGGTTTTGGTGTGGGGACACACTTCAGCTTGATTCAGTGTGATTCTGAGGAAGGGGGAGTGCCCCTGAAACACATCAAACTAGCTTACTGCACAATAGGAACCCCAGAGCCTTTGGATGAGCAGCCCCTCAAGATCCTGTGAAGATTGCTTTACCTAAACAGAGAGTGGATTGTTTGATGGCAACCATTAGCGCCAAGAGGCAAAATAACTTTTTTTAAGGAGGAATGGGCTACCTCCAGGCATACCTGCACTCAATGTATCCAAAGCTATATATGCTCCATGAATGCTTGCAAACGTTGTGCAACTAAAAGCTCTGTTTTTTCTCAATTTTTTTAGACAGGCGTATTTGTCTTTTTTTTTTTTGCAGTTTAGCTGGTAAGTGTGCTGGGAATTTTTCTTTGTTTGCACAGTTAACTGAAACACAAGCTTTTCATTCTAGGCAAGCGTAACATAAATGGTGAAGGCATCCAACCATGAAGCAAACATGAGCACACTAATGCAAATATCTGCCTAACTAATCTGTACTGAGTTCCTAAAGAAACAAACTCCCTTGTTCATGGTAACGTTCATTTCTGGGAATGGCCAGAGTCCATCGAAAGGTTTCTATCACCCTGTCAGACTTAATTCCAATAGTCTTTTTTATTACACAACGCAATGTCTACCTCTCCCGACATGCAGCTAGGTCTAGCTGTCCTGTACAAGCTGTTCTGCCTAGCTCATGTGCTTGCAGTGAGAATTCTGATAGGAGGAGGGAGCAGATAGGCTCATCAGTTTGATGCTTGTCATTTCACTGATCAATCACCAAGACACTGTTTCTTAGTTATATTAGTGTTATAATAGCACAGTGCAGGTGTAATATAATTCTTTTTTCACTATGGTTTTTCAAACTTTGTTAGCATTGCAGCTTGCATGTAGACACACAGGTGATGTCCAAGCGTGGTTAAAAGGATAAATTAGGGGGCGTGGCTTGCTCATGGCCGTGGACGGACGCATGTAAAGTGTGCTCCGGCTCTCCACCCGGGAACGACCACCAGGAACGCAGCCCTACTCCTTCTCTACACCTGGCATGGGCCGATCGGGCAAGAAGGGTGGTCAGCAGACTGCCAGGTCCTCTGCCCCGGCCATCGGGCCGAAGATTGGATCTTTTTTCAAGAATTCGGGCCTACTCGCGACCCAATCCCCGTCGGACCGCGGTATGGGTGACGCGGCCGGCTCTACGGCTTCCTCGCCGAGACAACCGCAGTGCAAGGGAGACTCGGACTCCTCCGTGACTGGAGAGGACGGAGCTTCGGTTCCGGGTGAGGACACATTCCAGCGCTATTTCGCGCTCCTGCCCACAAAAACGGAGCTGGAGGGCCTATTCTCCCGCCTGGAGGCATCTCATAGCCGAGACATGGCGTCTCTCAGGGAGGGCATGGCTGGTTTTGGGCAGCGGTTGGAAGTGGAAATGAGGGACCATGCCTTGGGGACCACATTTACAATGACAGGGTTATTCACAAAAGGGGGAAGAGTTTGTGAGAAGGCAGGAGAAGTGAACAATCTAGGACAACATAGCCGATTTGCAAAAATTCACCATTCAGTTCACCTTCCAGTTCAGCCATGTTGTCCTAGATTGTTCCCTTCTCCTGTCTTCTCCAAACCCTTCATCCTTTTCTGAATTACCCTGTCAGTGTTCCGATAGATATTCTATTCATTCTCAGACTCCTTTATGGATGTTATTTTAACCTACCACTGATATATTGCAGGAGTTTCCTACAAATATAGTAGTCCCCACAATCAATCCTCACTGTATATATAAAATAAATCAAAATGATGGAGTATATCTTTCCTCTGTAAAAAGAT